TCGTTCCGCGGCCACGAGTTCGTCGTCCGGCGCCTCGCGGCCCAGGAGCGGCTCGGCGAGCTGCCCCACGACGCGCGGCCCGGCGACGCCGTCCTGGTCGTCGGCGCGACGAACGACATCGTCGTCATCGACGACCAGCTGCGCGTCGTCAAGCACGACGCGGCCTACCGCCTGCGGCTCGCGCTGCGCCGCGCGAAGCGCGACTGCGGCGCGTCCGGCGGCGGCGGCGGCTGCGAGGCCGGCGCGCTCGAGGCCGCGCTCGCCGCGTGGCGCCGGGCCTGGGTCGAGGAGGCGAGGCTCCGCGAGGCCATGGCCGCGGACTTCGTCGCGCTCGGCGGCGAGGCGCCCGGCGCGCCCGTCGCGCCCGCGGGCGGCTGGCCCTCCGCGCGGCCGGACGCCGTCCGGGACGCGGCCGCGGCCGCGGCCGCGTGCGGAGCGCGGCCGCGGGAGCCCGGGCGGCCGCCGCGGGGCGCCGCGGCGCCGGCGGCGCTCGCCGCGCTCCTCGAGGCCTGGGGCGCGCCGGCCGACGACGCCTGCGCCGCGTCGCCCGACCGCCTCGAGGACGCGGCGGTCGCCTGGGCGGCGTGGCGCGACGCCGAGCCCGAGCTCTGCGGGCGGTGGGCCGCGCTGGGCGAGTGCGCGGCGAACCCGGGCTACATGCGCGCGCGCTGCGGCGCGAACTGCGCGCTCTTCGACGCCGCGGGGCCGCCGCCGGCCGCGGACGCCGCCGCGGTCCTCGCCGCGGGCCGGGCGGCCGACGCGTGGGACGCGTGCGCGCTCGCCGCGGCCGGCCCGCTCGCCGCGGCCTACGTCGGCGCCGCGTCGGCGGAGCAGAACGCGCGGTCCAAGTTCAGCGAGGACCTGCGGAACCGGACCTGCGCCGCGGACGGGCCCACGGCCGGCCCGCACCTCGGCGCGGCGCCGCGGACGACCTGGGCGCCGGCCGACGGCCACGCGTTCGGCGTCGTCCCGCTGTGGCGCGGCGCCGCCGTCGGCCTCCCGGCGGCGAACGTCACGCTCCTCGAGGGCTTCGCGACGGCGGACGAGTGCGCGCACGCCATGGCGGCGACGCGGCCGCACCTCCGGCCCGCGACGGTCAACGAGGAGGGCGACGCCGCGGCCAAGTCGCTGAGCCGCCGCGCGTACGCGGCGCACCTCGTGCCCGACCTCCGCGACCCGGACGACGTCCCCGCGCGCATCTGGCGCCGCGCCTTCGACATGGCCAACGGCCTCGCGGGCCTCGGCCTCGACGTCGAGGGCCAGGAGCCCTTCTCCGTGATCCACTACAACGGCACGGAGCGCGGCGGCTCCGCGCTGCCCGACGAGTACCGGCCCCACTGCGACGGCGGCTGCGACGGCGCGCCCCACCTCCACGGCGGCCGCGTCGCCACGCTCCTCCTCTACTGCGAGGCGCCGGCGGCCGGCGGCGCGACGACGTTCGCGAACGCGCGCGTATCCGTCAAGCCCCGGGCGCTCGACGCCGTCTTCTTCTCCTACTACGACGCGGCCTCGGGGACCATGGACACGGGCCACACGGTCCACAGCGGCTGCCCCGTGCTCGCGGGCGAGAAGTGGGTCATGACGCTCTGGATGCGCCGCGGCGTCCGCGCGGGCGACGCCTGGTCCAAGTACGACCCCACGGGCGCGCGCCACCTCTAACCGGGGCCGAGGAACCCCCCCGGGGAGCCCGCGCCGTCGAGGAGCGGCGACCGCCAGAGCGCGAGCGCGTCCCGCGCGAGGGCCGCGCCCGGCGGCGGCGGCGGCAGCTCGCTGTCGCGCCGCGGCCGCTTCGCGCGCCGCGGCGACGGCGCGCCGACGAGCTCGCCGGGCGGCTCGTAGGCGAGCTCCACCGCGGCCCAGTGCGTCCGCGGCCACCGCGTCGGCCGCGGCGGCCGCGGCGCGGCCGCGGCGCGGCGCGGCGCGGCGGCGGCCGCGGGTCGCCGCGCGAGGCCCGCGGGTCGCCGCGGGCGGCGCGGCGGCGGCGGCGCGGCCGCGTCGGCGTCCGCCGGGTCGAGGACCTGGACGAGCGCGCGGCCGAGGGCGAAGGTGCCGGCGCGCGACCCGTCGAGGAGCGAGAGCGCGCCCGACGCGTCGTCGAGGCGGAGCGCGCCGTCGCGCCACGTTTTCCGCCTCTTGTCGAAGCGCTCGAGCGTGTAGAGGCACGGCTCGCGCGGCACGAGGTCGACGCCGAATCCCGGGCTCGAGCACGCGACGGCGCCGAACGACGCGGGGAACGCCTCCGGATACCCGGGCGAGCTCGCGCGCCGCGCCGCGGCCGGGCTCGCGAGCGCTTCCGCCGCTTCCGCCGCTTCCGGCGAGTCGCGCCGGCTCCCGCGCCGCGCGGCGGCCTCGCGGGCCGCCCCGGCGGGCGACGCCGCGGCGGCCCGCGCCGCGACGGACCAGGGCGAGGTCGCGGGGCGCGTCGCGGCGCACGCGCGCGGGCTCACGAAGGAACCGGAAGAAGCTTCCCGAGGCTTGAAGTTCGCGAGACGCGCGGCGTCCGCCGCCGAGAACGTCTTCGAGGGCGTGCGCATGGTTCAAGGAATGGATCGTGGTACAACGAGCGTCGGGGGGGTGTCCGCACTTGAGGCGTCGCGCCGCGGTCGCCGGCGTGAGATGCGGTGTGGCCAGCCTGGCGCTTCACATTGAAGGCAACAACAGGAAATTGCCGCAGCGCTGACGCTGCCCGGCAGTATCACCTCGTCGACAGGCGATCAGGACGCGTCGTTTGGCCACATACTCTGTCAGTCTGAAAATTTAACGAGGTGCGCTGCCGCGCGCAAGCCCCGCCCCAGCCCGTCGCCGCCGCGCCGACCCTCGTCTGGCCGCGCCGCCGCGCGGCGCCGCCCGCGCGAGCGAGCCCGCTCGTTCGAATCTCCGCCTCCCCGCGCGCCGCTCCTGGCGCCCGCCCGCCGACGCGCCCCCGCCGCCCGCGCAGGCCCGCCATGGAGGACCCGACCGTCGTCGCCGCGTGCGTCGCGGGCGGCGTCGTCGCCGCGACGGGCTGCTACATGGCGTACCAGAAGTCCGCGGGCGTGACGCGCGACGCGTCCGGCGGCACGGGCGCGGCCTTCGAGGGCCAGCTCGCCGCGGGTGTGAACATGCTCAGCAACGGCGACAGCGTGCTCGCGCGCGAGAAGGTCGAGAACTCGATGGACGAGTACGCGGCGCTCTTCGAGGGCCAGACGGGCAAGCACAGCGCGAACGGCCTCACGGACGAGAAGGGCGCCGTGACGTCCGCGGAGTCCATCAAGAAGCGCCAGGAGGGCTACCGGACCATGGTCAACAACTTCTACGACCTCGTGACGGACTTCTACGAGTACGGCTGGTGCCAGTCGTTCCACTTCGCGCCGCGCTGGCAGGGCGAGACGTTCCTCGAGTCGATCAAGCGCGCCGAGTACCACCTCTGCAGCCGCCTGGGCATGAAGCCCGGCGTCAAGGCGCTCGACGTCGGCTGCGGCGTCGGCGGCCCCATGCGGAACATGGCCATCTTCTCCGGCGCGTCCATCGAGGGCATCACGATCAACGAGTACCAGGTCAAGGTCGGCAACAAGTACCACGCGCAGCAGGGCGTCGCGGACATCGCGCACACGACGCGCGGCGACTTCCAGAACCTGCCGGGCTTCACGAACGGCGAGCTCTGGGAGGGCATCGACTACGGCGACATGGACTGGACGGGCAAGTTCGACGTCGCCTACGAGATCGAGGCGACGTGCCACTCGCCGGACAAGACGCGGTGCTTCTCCGAGGTCGCGCGCTGCCTCAAGCCCGGCGGCCTCTTCGCGGGCTACGAGTGGGTCGTGCTCCCGGACCGCGGCTACGACGGCGCGAACCCGACGCACGTCGCCATCAAGGAGGGCATCGAGATCGGCAACGGCCTCCCGACGCTCGCGACGCCGGAGAAGGTCGTCGCGGCCCTCGAGGCCGCGGGCTTCGAGGTCCTCGAGCACTACGACGCGAACCGCAACGTCCACAGCCCCGTCGAGATCCCCTGGTACGACACGCTCAACGGCAAGTTCACGCTGAGCGGCTTCCGCATGACCAACCTCGGCCGCAACTGCACGCACGCCATGGTCACGGCCCTCGAGACCCTCCGCATCGCGCCCAAGGGCACGACCCACGTCTCCGCCATGCTCAACGCGACGGCCCTCGACCTCGTCGAGGGCGGCAAGCAGGAGCTCTTCACGCCCTCCTACTTCTTCGTCGCCCGCAAGAAGTAGGCCGCCGCGCGACACCGCAGCCACCGGCGAACCCCCCCCACCCCCAGGCGCCCCCTTAAGTTCGAAGTCGGGGCGACCGAGCGCGCACGCGTCGACTCCAGAAGTCTCCAGCTCGGACCCGGCCCGGCCGCGCGGGGCCCGGGGAAGCACGTGCACGCGGCGCCACGCGCCGCCGCTCCTAGCCCTGGGGTCAGCTTGGGACCCTTACGGGCGCGCGCGCGCGGCCGCGCGCCACGACGCGCCGCGCCGCCGGGCGCGCACGCGCCGGCGGCCCCGCGGGCGCAGCGCCGCCGCCGCCGGGCGCGCGCTCACCTGCCGCGGCCGCGGCCGCGGCCGCGGCCGCGCCCCCGGCCGCGCCCGACGGAGCGCGCGGCGCCGGCGGCCTTGACCTTCTGCTTGGGCGTGTCGTCGATGAGGAGCGTGTCGAGGTTGAGCGAGTCGGGGAGGATGTAGTAGCGCACGTTGCTCCCCCGGACGGACAGCGTGTCGTACTTGACGCCGTTCTTGCCCTTGGGCGTGAGGCTCGCGTTCTTGAGGAAGGTGTTCATGGAGATGTCGACGCCGCTGATCGTCCCCTGGACCACGGTCCCGTTCTTGAGCTCGATGGTCACCGTCTCGTTGTTCAGCTTCATGAGGAAGCGCACGAGCTTCATCGCGGCGGGCGGGCGGACCGCGGCGGCGGCGGGCGGGGACGGACGCGGGGGGCGGGCGGCGGCGAGGCGCGACCCGCTCCTGCGACCGGTGCGAAGCCGGCGGAGGCGACGACGGCGGCGACGCGAAGCCGGCGGAGGCGACGGCGCGCGAGCGAGGCTGCTTGCTGAGTGCTCCTAGGAGGCATCACCGCTGCACGGTCGGCCTCGACCACAAGAGCGTAATGGACCGCATATGCAGCCTATTTTAACGCCATGATCACCGCGCTGCGCCGCCTAGTCGTCGTCGCGCTCAGCGTCGTTCCGCGGACGACGCCGCTCGTCGCGCCGCGGCCGCGCGCGCGCTGCGGCACGGCCCTCGGCGCCGGTCGGGCGCCGCCGCCGGACCTGGCAAATTGCGTGGGCGTGGGCGAGTTCAACGCGGCCCTGCGGGCCCGCGCGCGGTCGCGCGACGTCGCCGGCACGGCGCGGGCCTGGGCGGCGCTCGTGGAGCACTGCGCGCCCAACGACCGGTCCTACGGGATCTTGATCGACGGCCACGCGCGCGTCGGCGACGCGGACGCGGCGCTCGCGGCGCTCGCGGCCGTGCCCGGCGGCGGCAACGTCGTCCACCACGCGTCGTGCATGCAGGCCCTGTCGCGCGCCGGGCGCGACGCCGAGGCCGCGGCGCTCCACGAGCGCATGGTCGCCGGCGAGGGGGCTAGGCCCAACCAAAGGTCCTACCACGGCTACCTCCGCGCGCTCGGCGCGCTTTCGAGGGCCGGCGACGACGACGATGCGCCGCGCAAGGCCGCGGCCGCGCTCGACGAGCTCCGGCGGAGCGTCGGCGTCGACGCGCGCGCCTACCAGACCGCCTTGTACGTCTGCCGCGAGGCGAAGGACTGGCCCCGGCTCCTGGCCATCTTCGAGGCCCACGCGCGCGACGGCGACGTCGCCGCGCCCGACGGCCTCGCGCGCACGGCGGCGCTCCAGGCCTGCCGGGGCCTCGGCGACGACGCCGCGGCGAAGGGGGTCTGGGAGGGGTGGCGCGCGGACCTCGCGGCGGCGAGGACGCGCGACGCGCCCGACGCGTTCGCGTACTCCGCGTTCGCGGCGGCCCGCGCGCCCTCCGGCGCCGTGGACCTCGCGTTCGCGCGGGCGCTCCTCGCGGACGCGCGGCGCGCGGGCGCGCTGCCCCCCGCGGAATCGAGCCGCGCGGCCGTCGCCGCGAGCTCGACGCGCGAGGTCGACGCGATGCGCGGCGTCTTCGCGTCGCTGCTCGAGGGCCTGGCGGCCCGGGGCCGCGTCGGCGACGCGGTGGGGCTGCTCGGAGAGTGCGAGGACTGCGGCCTCGCGGGCGCCGCGGCCTACGACGCCGCGGCCGCGGCCGCGGCCGTCGCGGGGGACGCCGACGCGGCGATCGCGGTCCTCCGGCGGTCCGGCGGCGCCGCGACGCGGCGCGGCTGGGACGCGGCGCTCCGCGCGTGCGCATCGGCGACCCCGGCGAGGCCCGGTTCCGCGGCCGCGCTCCTGGACGAGCTCGGAGGACGCGCGGGCCGGCGGAGTTTCCGCGCGGCGCTCGCGGCGGCGGACCGCGGCGCCGACGGCGCCGCGGCATCGCGGGTGTACGCCGCGGCGCACCGCGCGGGCCTCGCCGACGGCGCGCTCGTCGGAGGGTACGTCCGCGCGCTCCGGCGCGCGGCCGACGCCGCGGCGCCGGGCCTCGGCGCGCCCCGGGGCCGGGCCTGCGCCGAGGCGGCGCGCGCGCCCCGCGCGCTCCTCGACGCGCTGGGTGCCGCGGAGACCGTCCCCGACGCGGCGTTCCGGGACGCCGTCCTCGCGGCGCGCTTCGGGGGAGGAAACGCGGCGCGCGACGCGCGCGCGGTCCTCGACGCCGCGGAGGCCCGCGGCGTCGACGTCGGCCAGCCTGCGGCCGACGCCGTCGCCGCGGCGCTCGCCGCCGCGGGCGACTGGCGGGGCGCCGCGGCCGTCGCCGAGGGCCGGCGTCGCCGCGGCCTCGTGCCGCCGTCCGCCGCGACGCAGACGCTCGTCGTCCGCGCGGCGGAGCGCGCGGGCGAGTGGCGCGCGGCGCTCCGGCTCATGGAGGACATGAGAAAGGACGAGGTGCGGTTCTACGAGAACCCGATCTTCGACTCGCTCTTCAAGACAGGGGTGATGGTGTGGAACGCCGGCGCCGGCGTCGAGGTCCACGGGGAAGAAGAGGGGGGGGGGGGTAACGGCCGCGCGTAGTGTCACAGGCTGGTGCAAGCCTTTAAGCGAACCAGGCGACGCGTGTACGCCAAGTCCCATCATGATTGAAGTGAATGGCGCCGACAACTTGTACGAGCTGCCCTCCAGTCGATGGTCTGAGTGGAAGTCCAGCGTCGCCATGCCGCGGAAGAGCTCGAAGAAGGTTAGAGGGAAGGCTGGCCTCAAGGCCTGGCGAGGCAACGAACGTCTTGCGAAGCTGCAGCGACTCTCCAACAAGTCTCGACTCGGGCACGCGCGCTCGGCGGCCTGCGGGTCCTACATGGTCGAGTGGCGGTCGACAGCCGATTCGACCTCGGGACCAAATGGGGGCTGGAAGCTGTTGGGCCGTCAGGACGTGGGCTCGGTGGCCATGAGCGGGCAAGGGACGCCGATGTTGAGAATTCGGTGGCATGACCCGGAGTCCCCGGGGGAGGCTTTCGCGGAGGCGGACTACGCGAACGACAACCCCGAGGGAGCGCGTGGCACGGTCATGTGCGAATACTGGGATCCGGCGACACTGGCGATGGAGTTGCACATCATCGCTTCGAAGCAGTGCGTCGACGATTTTAGGATGCTCGACGGGTCCCTCATCTACATGATGGGCCAGCCGAGCTTGTTCTGGAGCGCGGTGCTCCACTTCCGCGCGCATGGGACCTGCTGCCCGACCTTGGCGAAGAAAGCGACCTGGGGTGACACGGCCTTCTGGTCGGAGATGCGCGCGCTTATGGATCGACTCCCGGCGCGGGGGGACTTTCGGGCCCGGCCGCCGCCGGACCTGGGCTCGCGGAACATGGCCATCGTCGCGTTCCTCCAGAACAAAACATCGGCCGACAAGGTCATTCCCTGGTACGGCTACCACGAGAACGACGCACTGCCCACGGCGCAAGACGACGCGCCCGACTGGTGGCGGCTGGCGGCCGAGCCTTGGGACCGCGCCTTGTCCGAGATGTTCAAACGCGGCGAGAAGCTGGGGCCGGCGGAGCTGCCCTGTCAATTCTTTGCGACCATCGCCGCCACGGGCGGCTTTGGCTGCGCTTGTCCGGGCGGCCTCGGTTACTCGAGCGCGCCCTCTGGCGTCTCCGCGTGCCCGTTCCGCCACGACGACTGGTGGCTCGCCATGTGTCGCGACCGCCGAGCGCACCCGCGGGTCTGCTTTGGCTGCGGTCGCTACGCTAGCACGAGCTGCACCGCCTGCGATTCGGTCTTCATCTGCCGCGACTGCCCGGCCACGATAGGCATGGAGCGCTGCAACTCCTGCACGTCGGCGGACCGGCCGAGCGTCCGAGCGGTCGCCGCGCCGGCGACGGCGCGCGACGAGTCGCGGGCTCGCTACGCGCCGGTGGCGGGCGGCCGCACGAACATCGACGACGTCAACGAGACCCTGGGGACGCGAGTCGCGGTGGGCGGCCTCGATACCTGCGGCCACTGCGCCAGCACCGAGGGGCCCTTCAAAAAATGCGGCCGGTGTAGGAACACCGTCTACTGCAGCGTGGACTGCCAGAAGAAAGCGTGGCCGGCGCACAAGCGGCACTGCGAAGCCCTCCGCGACCGGCGCAAGGAGGTCCGCGCCGCGGGGGACGAGCCCGGGGTCAAGATGGTCTCCGACGCGTCGGGCGTGGGCTTCGTCGGCGTCCTCATTGCGAGCCCGCCAGTCATGTCCCACGCGCATTTTAGCAACCTCGCCGGCGCGACTGAAGCGATGGTCCATTTCTCGAAGCTCGACGAGTGCGAACCCTGGATCCGGTTTTTGCTCGCGTGCGGCCCGTGCGACGACATCGAAGCGGCGAAGGGAGCCCTCGACGTTCTCTGCGAGCGGACCGCCGACCCGGCCGCCCGCGCGCCGGGCGTCGGTTTCACGGCCTTGGAGTGGGCCGCGCGCAAGGGCAACTTCGAGGTCGCGGAGTGGCTCGCCACGGACCCACGGAGCCGGCGGCTCGTCAAAGTCGGAGCCCCGGTCGGCTGGGCGCTCTACACGAACCGCGTCAAGCTCGCTCGCATGCTCGTCGCCAAGGGCGCCGACGCGACCGCGACGGACGCCGTCCTCTTCGGATGCCGACCGCCTCTCCTGGTCGCCGCCGGCAACGGCCAGCTCCTCGCGCTCCAGTTCCTCGTGGAAGAACTCGGCTTCGACATACACGAGACCGACCGGCTCGGCCGCGGAATTCTCGAGACCATCGCCTCGGAGACCGCGGGCGGCAACGCCGACGTCGCCGCCTCCATTCGCGCTTGGATGCAGGGCCAGCCTGCCGCCGGCGCCGAGCTCGATCCCCACCCCGACGGAAGCCTGAACCTCACGCCCGCGCAAGCGGCCTGCGCCACCTGGGCCCGCAATCGCGGAGCTACGCGCTAAGGCCGCCGTCATCACGATCGAACGCGGCGCGCGTCCACGAAACAAAAGTCGCTCTGTGGCTCCCGGACCCACGCTAAAAGAAATACCCCGACAGCTGGACAGTTTATTGTCGCCCCTCCTCGCCGGCGGCCCGAGCGTCACCGCGACGCGACGAGGACCGGCTCCGCGGCGCACTCATCTTCTCCCTCGATGAAGCACTCGTCGCCGACGACGACGCAGGGTCGCGTGGGCTCCGGCGCGCCCGCCGCGTCGCCGCCGAGGTCGTCGAACTGGACCAGGTTGCAGAGCGTCTTCCAGTGCTCCTTCTCGTCGTCGCGGATGTTGACGAAGACGTCGTAGAGCGACTCGAGCGGCGGCCGCGATCGCGACGTGAATCCGCCGTCGGTCTCCTTGACCGTCAAGAACTGGTCGCGGAGGTAGGGGTCGTCGCGCTCGTAGTACTTGCGCGCGATGTCGGGCACGGGCATCCCCTTGAGCTTGGGCCCGTGGTCCTTGATGAAGTCGTCGTATGTGTTGAACGCGTGGTCCTCGATGAGCTCGGACAGGTGGTACGCCGCGGGCTCCGAGAACGAGTAGACGACCGTCACGTACCAGAAGTAGAAGAACGCCATGCTCTGCGCCAGGGTCCGGTCCACGGCCGACGAGTTGCCGCCCAGCGACTCCATGATCAGCAGGTGGTGCAGCTCGTTGTCCGCCTCGGCGTAGTGCGTCCGCATGCGCTCCGAGTCGCCCGGTCTGCGATCGCCGAAGGTCTCGCGCAGGTGCATCACCGACAGATAGGCGAAATACGGCACGCGCGCGAGCGTCTCGAGCACGTAGAAGCGCGCGAAGTCGCGGCCCTCGTAGAGCGCGTCGATGGCGCCCTTGGTCGCGCCGACGAGGCCTTCGTTCAAGGCGAAGATGCGCTCGTCCATGCCGTCGCCGGCGGGCGACGCGCAGTCGCGGGGCCCGTAGACCGCGGCGTACTCGGCCGCCGACGCGCCGGGGACGCGGGCCCAAAGCGCGCCGGCGGGCGCCCCGGGGCGGACCGGGGGCGCCAGGGCCCCGCAGGACGCAACGACGAGGAGCGCCGCGGCACGGCTTGTCGAGCTTCGCATGCTGCTGCGACTTGGACGCAGTTGAACTGCGAGCGGGCCGTTGTTGACCTCAACACGCCTCACGAGCTCGAGCTGGGACAGGTTTCGACGACGGCCGACAACTGGCGCAGACGGCCCGCTCGAGGCCCCGAGCCGCCCGTAGGAGAACGCGGGGGGCGGAGGATCAGTTGGAATGCGTGGCGTGCCACGTCTCCGCGCGACACTCACCCATCCCGCCGCGCCCCCTCTCTACCCTCCCCCGGAAGGCGCGCGAGGGACCTTACCGCGCCGCCCCGCTACTTGTCGTCCCCGCCGCCGTCGCCGACGGGCTTGACGGCCGCGACGAGGCCCGACTCCTTCATCTGCGAACAGTAATTTTCGGCGACCTCGAACTGGTAGACGCCCACGACGGCCATGCCCATCTGGTGTGCCTGCGGTCGACGTCGCTTCAAGCTCGAGCGTTCCGCGCGTGCCCGTTCCGGAAGGCGCGTCGCAGGGGGTTCGGGGGACGATGGGTCGTCGGAAAGAGAGTAGGAGCGAGAGGAGACCCCACCGAGGGAGCCTCGGAGGGGAACGCCGGCGCGCGCCTGCATCATGCAGTCGTAGGCCTCGCCCTCCGTGAGCGCGACCTTCGTGCACAACACGCGGCTCACGTACTCGCGCGTGTTCACCTGGGAAACCGAGGTCGCCCGCCGGACCGTAGTGGGTGAGAAGGGGACGCGGCCGCCGCGCCGGGTCGTCGAAGAGGAGCAGCTCGTGCTTGCCCTTGCCCCCGCCGGATTTCTCCTTGTTCTTCGGGTCGCCGCCCGTCGTCCGCGGCGTCGTGACCTGCGTGCCGGTGGCGTCGGCCGGGGCCGGCGAAGGAGGAGGCGCGGCGGGCGCGCGGGCTTGTCGATGGTCGTCGAGAAGCGGCGCGATGGCGCGCTTTCCCCTCGCGCCGCAAATGGCCGAGGCGCGAAGGCGACGGCGCTGGCGCAGGATAGCGCTGCCACCACGAAGGAGAAGCACTTCGGCATCGCAGCTTGCCAGTCTGTGCTCAGGCCTCAACATGCCTCAAAGTTGGCCTTTCGCGGCGCCGTGGGTTTCGCGCTGCTGAGCCTCGACTCGGTCAGCCTCCTCCTGCTCCAGCGCGACGGCGGCCTGCGGCGCGCGCGGCGGCGCCGGGACCTCCGCGCTGGGACGCGAGGCGCCAGGTCCGCGCGCGCGTCAACCCGCGTTACCCGGACCCGCGCCACTGCGGCGCCCAGAGCCCGGAGATGCCGCTCCTCTAGTGGGGCGGCGCGGCTTAAGACGGCCGCGTGCCCGGACATTCCTCGGCCTGGGCCTCCTCGATCCTCAACTTTCCCTAGGCCTTTCCCTTCAATGACTAGTCCAACATCCCGCGTTGCCTCACTGGGGTCCTCAATCTGGCAGACTGACTCGGTGTGTGCGCCGGGTTGCCCGCACGCCGCCGCCGCGTAGGTCCGCGACTCGTACCCACTGCTCGCGTCGTCGCCTCCGTCGCGTCGATGCCGCGCCGCGCGCTCGCCGCGCTGGTCGTCGCCGTCGCGTCGGCGCTGGCGCCCGTGCGGCGCCGCGCGCTGTTCGGCGGCGCCGCCGCCGCGGCGGCGCCGGCGCTCGCTCCGGCGCCGTCCTGGGCGGCGGACCTCGCGCCCGCGGCCAAGCTCAAGAAGGGCTTCGACGGCATCGACTACCTGCTGAACAACTGGGACAAGGAGACGATCAAGTCGTGCCCGACGGGCCAAGTCACGCTCAAGGACGAGTGCGACATGGACGCGAACAAGGTGCCCGCGGTGCTGGGCCTCAAGTCCACGGACGCGCCCCTCTTCAAGATCGAGCGGTCCTTCAAGGCCGTGCTCCTCGGCGGCGACGTCGACGACATCGACCGGTGGACCGCGGCGACGGAGGCCTTCGTCCAGCACGCGACGTCGGCGCAGGAGTACGCCTACACGGCCTCCTTCGGCGAGTACAACCCGTCCGGCGGCAAGGACCAGGTCGCCAAGTACATGGGCTACTCGAAGAACGAGCTCAAGCTCGCGCGGGACGCGCTCAAGGACATACTCAACCAAGCCGGCTACAAGCTGTAGGGGGATAACAACAGCGGGCGCGCCTAGCCGAAGGGGTGCGCCGCGGCGGCGGGCGGCGCGTGGGGGTAGTCGTCGTGCGCGCGCGCGGCCGCGTCGAACTCGCGCGTCGCGGCGTCGAGGCCCCTGCCGCGCGTCGCCTCGCGGCGGGGGGGCGGGGCCGCGCCGGGCGGCGGGAGGCGGAAGCCGAGGAGCTCCGCGGCGTCGCGGTCGCTCTTGCCGAGCCTCGCGTGGCTCGCGACGCAGTAGAAGACGAGCGAGTAGCGCGGGCCGCCCGAGAACGGGAGCGTCGCGTGGTAGTCGCGGCCGTCGAAGGACTGGAACGCGTCCGCGGCGTCGAGCTCGTCGCCCTCGACCCAGAGCTCGCCTCCCTCGAACTCGCCGAAGGCGATGATCCACGACGGGCCGAGGTTGTTGCGGTCGACGTGCGGCGTCGCGCTGTCGCGCCACGAGTCGTAGCGGTTCACCTGTATCGACGACACGAACGCGTCCCGCGCCTCCCGGGGCGCCCGGGCGCGGAAGTAGGCGTTGAGCGCCTGGGGGAGGAGGCTGTCGAGGAGGTCCGTCGCGTTCGCGAGGACGCACGTGCCGTCGCCTGGGCAGCACAAGAGTGATTCAACGTCGCTTCAACGTGAGTGTTCCGCGCGCGCGCGTTCCGGAAAACACATCCACGCTTCGAGACCGTTCCGAGAGATGATCGCTCGTCCAAAAATCAGCCGAAACGAGTGGAAAATGGCCGAGATCGGAGCCTTTGAAGTTGGGAATTTCGCTCTCTTGTGCTGCCCTGGCCGTCGCGCTTCGACGTCACCCCCAGCGTGCAGCCCCGGGGCTTGCCGCCGCTCCGGATGAGCTTGTGCCGCTGCGACGGCGGCAGCTCGAGCTCGTCGAGGATCGCCTGGAGCCCCGCGGCGCCGAGGAGCAGGCTCGCGGCGCCCTCGTCGCCGATGGCCTCCGCGACGGCGCGCTCGAGCGCCGCGTCGGCGCCGCGGGAGGGCCGGGGCGCCTTGGCGGAGCGCACGGCCTTGTTCGACACGCGGCGCGCGGCGCGCGTCGCCTCCTCGTCCGTCGCGCCGGCGGCCTTGCGCTCGCGCTCCTCGGCGTCGAAGACGACGCGCGATATCGCCTTGATAGCAGCAATCGAGAGGGGCTTGTCCCGCCGGAGCCCCGCGAGCCGGCGCCCGCGGATGACGACGCGCCGCCCGTCGCCGAGGCCGTCGTCGTCGTCGTCGACGACGGCGGCCGGAGGAGAGCGGCGGGGAGGCGCCGCGGGCCGGAAAGGAGACGACGACCGCGACCCGCGCGCGTCGTCGTAGTCCTCGTCGTCGTCGGACGACGACGCCGCCGGCGCGCGCGCGGCGGCGCGGCCCGCGGCCGCCAGCGGCCGCCAGGGCCGGTCGGCCTCGCCGAGCACGTCGGGCGTGAAGCGTCCCGCGGCGTCGCGGCTCCACCTACTCCCGGCGACGTCCGCCTCTTCCATGTGGCGGAGGAAGTCGAGGAGGATCGCCGTCTTCTCTCCCTCGCCGAGGTCGCCGAAGACGAGGCCGTGCGCCACGCGCTCGTCCGTGCCCGCGTAGGTCACGACGAAGCCGCCCGCGTCGTGCGCCACGACGGCGGCCTCGGGCCAAAACTCCCGATCGGCCTCGTCCACCCAGCCCACCTCGACCGCGTCGCCGACCGCGGGCCGCGCGCTCCGCACCGTCTCGACCCCCGCCGCCGCCGGCGCGCCGCGGCCCCTCGGGGCGCCGCCGCTGGCGCGCTTTTTCGCGGGTCGCCCCGCGGGCGTCTCGTCCGTCCCCCGGCCCGCGCGCGCGCGCTTCGGCGGCGGCCCGCCGACGTCGCGCGCGCGCGGCGCCTGGTCGCCGCGGCACGTCGGCACGTGCTCGGCCCGGGCGGCCTCGTTCTCGAACCAGCGGCCGCAGAGGCGCGCGCAGGGCAGCGAGCCGCACGTCTCGCACGCGACGCTCGCGACGGCGTCGTGGTCCGTGACGACGGTTTCGTAGTCCTCGAACCAGCCCGCCGGCGCCGCGCGGAAGTCGGGGTGGTGCGCGTGGCAGCACTTGAACCGCTGTTCGAAGCGCTGGACGTCGGCCACGGGGATGGCGTTCTGGTCGCCGTTGTCCCACAATATCTCGTAGCAGCCGCGCGTCTCGCTGACCTCGCTGCAGACGCGCCCGAGGCACCATTCGTCGGCCCACTTGGCGCGCACCGAGTCGCCAAACGAGAGCATCCTCGACGCCTCAGGCCGCGCGAATTGAGCCGCTTTGCGAGAGCATCGTGAGATTTGGGGCTGCAACATTCGGGACCTTGCCGTGCGCGTGCGCCAGAAGCGTGCTTAGAACCGGGACCCTACGACCCGGGCCGTCACGTGCACTTGTAGGGCGACTCGCCGAGGAGGTCCTTGGCGTACATGAGCTCGCAGAGCTTCTTGAAGGCCGCCATGCCCAGGGGGATGGTGACGACCTGCCAGCCGATGATGCCGTCCTTGTGGAGGCGGAGCACGTTGTAGGTGAAGTGGAACGTCGCCGCGCTCAGCAGCGCGTGCGCCGCCGCCATGGCCCGGGCGAGGAGCCGGACGTTGGCCTCGCCGCCCGCCGCGGCGCGCGCGGCCGCGCGGAGGCCCGCGAGGGGTCCGACGGCCGGGCAGTAGGTCGCGACGAAGAGGCCCGCGACGAGCGCGAGCTGGACCGCGGCGAGGGACCTGCGGCGGCGCGGAGCCGTCGGGCGGCCGGCCGCGGCGGCCGCGCGCGCGGCGCGCGCGGGAGCCGCGCGGCGCGAACGTCGGCTTGATGGCCTCGTGGTGGAGCGCCTGGGCAGCAAAAGGGCGATTCAACGTCGCTTCAACGCGAGTGTTCCGCGCGCGCGCGTTCCGACAAAAGCATCCACGCTGCGAGACCGTCCCGAGAGATGATCGCTCGTCCAAAAATCAGCCGAAACGAGTGCAAAACGGCCGAGATATGAGCCTTTGAAGTTGGGAATTTCGCACCCTTTTGCTGCCCTGTGGAGCGCCGTCAGGCGGCTCCGCGCCTCCATCATGTCCTTCGCCGGCGGCTTGAAGGCGATGGCCAGCTCCCGCCGCTCGCCGCCCCGGGCGGCGACGATGGCCACGCCGGTCTCCGTGACCTCCGTCAGGCTCGCCCGCTGCGCCGCCGGCCACTCCATGCGCGCCATGGCCAGCACCGTGTGGACGTGGTCCACGTTCATGTGGTTGCAGATGCGGCCCGTGTGCGTGTTCAGGCGCGGGTCAGCGACCATGCTGGCCTTCTTCGGGTTTCGCGCGGGCGCCCAGACGGCATGCAGACCGCAGCCCCGGGTGCCGTATCCTCTCGCACACGGGGGGCAGCATCTGGCAGCCCGTGGTGCTTGGACGCCACAGTTCTTGCCCGTCGCCGGCGCGCCCACGTTCGGCCGCCGCGTCGCCGCCGTTCCGTCGCCGGGGCCGCCGCCGGCGGCGCGCTCGCGACCACCCCCGAGCGCCGCCCGTCGGACGCGGGGCGGCCCCGTCCCGCCGCGTTCGTCCGAGGCCATGCCGCCGGCGCCGGGCAAGCCCATCATGCCGGCCATCAGCGAGACGGACGAGTCCAAGGGGGAGATGAAGCAGGCCTACTACGGCGGCGAGAGCGAGTTCTCCCTCAAGGCGCGCAAGAACATCTCCAGCGACTCGCTCTCCGAGATGGCGCACCGCGCGCGGCGCCGCGTCCCCGTCCCCGGCCGCCCGGCGGCCGGCGGCCGATCGACGCGCGCCGGCCGCTCGACCCGCCGCGCGCGCGCGCGCGCCGACCGCGCGTCGCGCGCAGGTCGACAACCGGAGGGGGAGCCGGGACGACCGGGACATGCCCGAGGCGAAGCGGGGCGACTGACGCGCGCGGCTAACGCCGTCGCGGAGGCGCAGGGGAGCCGCCGCTTAGCCGGCGGGGGGGAGCGAGGGGCGGGGGTCAGGCGGGGACGTCGTCGACGATGGAGAGGACGGCGCCGCAGACGAGCTTGTGGTCGCCGCGGCGGGGCCGCGGGGGCGGCGCGTCGCGCGCGAGGCGGAGGAAGCGGAGGAGCGCGCCCTCGAGGTCGGGCTTGTCCCGGGCGAAGGCGACGCAGCCCCGGAGGTAGGCGTCGAGCGCGTCGCGGCGCTCCTCGAGCCCCGCCGCGTCGGCCGCGGCGTCGCCGCGGCGCGGCGGCGGGAGCTTCGGGAGCCCCCTGGCGTCGCAGGCCGCCGGCGCGCGGTCGAGGGCCGCGCGGAGCGTCGCGTGGAGCGTCGCGAAGTCGCCGTGGCGGAGGTCGAGCGCCGCGACGCGGAAGCCGCGGCGCGCGTCGACGGCGAAGAGCTCCGCGGAGCCCGCGGCGCGGCCGTCGACGACGGCGGCGGCGAGGCGCGGCGCGAAGGCGCGCGCGGCCGCGGCCGCGGCGAGCGCGCGGCGGTGGAGCGCGTGGTCGACGCCGATGGCGTCGAGGTCGCCGTCGTCGAGGCCGACGTCGAGGAGCAGGTCGAGGTCGTCGTAGCCCGCGGCGGCGAAGGCGTCCGCGTAGGGCAGGTTCAGCGCCGCGAGCCAGTCGGCGACGGACGCGCCGCCGCCCGGCACACCGCGGCGCGCCTCCGGCCCGCCGCGCGCGGCGGCGCCCTCGGCGGCCGCGGCGTCGACGGCGGCCTGGACCGCCGCGAGCCTGTGCCGAATTCAACCGCTGGTTTGGGTGGTCCCGACCAAACTTGAGAATTCTCTAGCTCGGTCACATCGAAGTCGATTCGGCTGATTTTTGGACGAATCGATTGCTCTCATCGAGTCCTCGAAGCCCAGCCGAAGAGTCCGGCGCAATCCGTTCAATAACGCTCACATTGAAGTCGGGTTGAAGATTTGAATTCGGCACCGCCGCGAGCCAGACGTCGCGGGCCGCCGCGTCGGGCGCCTCGGCGGCGAAGAGCGGCGCGCGCGCGCCGCCGGGCCGCCGGTCCGCGAGCGAGAAGCGCGCGGGCGCCGCGCCGGACGCCGCGAGCTCCGTCGCCGCGGACACGTCGACGGAGCCCTCGGGCGCGGCGGCGTCCGGCGACGCGTACCACGCGAGCGCGGCGCCCCGGAGCACGACCCAGCGGCGCGCGTAGACCGCGCGCCCGAAGGCGCCGGTCCGCCGCACCTGGAGGAAGCCCGCCGCGCGGTCCGTGTCGAGGCCCAGGTCGCGGAGCGCGTCGACGCGGCGGCTCTCGAGCGCCGCGGGCCGGTCCGGCGAGTCGAGCGCGCGCGCGCGCGCGGCCGCGGGCGCGGCCACGTAGGCGCCGGCCTCGTCGCCGTTGACCGTGCTCGACGGCGTGCACGCGGCGAGCGCGCGGCCCGGCGTGTAGGCGCCGGCCGCGGCGCCGTCGACCGTGCTCGGCGTCGCCGCGCCCGGCGACGGCGTCGCGACGGCGGCGACGGGCGACGGCGTCGCGGCCGCGGCGCGCGGCGGCGCCGCGGGCGACGCGGCCGCGGGCGCGGCGGCGGCGGCCGGCGGCGGCGGCGGCAGCACCGGCGCGGCGCCGTGCTCCGCGACGAGGTCCTCGAGCCAGGCCTCGGCGTCGTCCGCGGCCGGCCGCTCGTGGTCCTCGTAGCCGAGGCACTGGGCCGCGAGCTCGACGTAGGACCCCGGCGCGCCGCGCGCGCCGAGCCGCGACCGGAGGTCGTCGTCGTCGAGCGCGAAGAGGTCCCGCGGCGACCGCGGGAGCGCGGCCGCGGCCGCGGCCCGGAGGCCGAGCTCCGCGAGCACGCACCCAAAGGCGAAGACGTCGACGGCGGCGCCGTAGCCCTCGCCGCCGTCGAGGAGCAGCTCCGGCGCCATGTAGGCCTCCGTGCCGCAGAGCGTGGACGCGCGGCCGCCGTCGCCGCAGGCCGTCGCCATGCCGAAGTCGCCGAGCTTGACTCGGTAGTCGCCGTCGAGGAAGACGTTCGCGGCCTTGACGTCGCGGTGCAGGAGCTCGCGGCCGTGGAGGTACGCGAGCGCGCTCGCGAGCTCCTTGGCGACGCGGAGCCGGAGGCCCCAGTCCAGGTCGACGGCGGCGTCCTCGAGGAGCCGGAGCAGGTCGCCCCTTTCCGCGTACTCCGTGACCGTCCAGACGCCCGCGCCGGGGCCGACGCCGCCGTCGCCGACGGGGCGGTCCGGGTCCGCGCACGCGCCGACGTAGCGGAGCACGTGGGCGTGGTCGCAGGCCGCGAGCACGCGGAGCTCGCGCGCGAGGGCCACCGCGACCTGCGCCGCGTCGTCGACGTCGTCCTCCGCCGGCGCGACCTGCTTCTTCACGGCGACGGTCGCGCCGCGGAGCGTCCCGACGAAGACGGCCGCGAACTCGCCGCGGCCGATCTCCGCGCCGGCGACGACCTCGGACGCCTTGACCGTCGTCAGGTCCAGGGGCGGCAGGTCGTTCCAGGCCATCTCGTTGACGGCCACCGGCGAACCCGAGGCCATGCGGCGGCGCGCGGCGTCGAACGGGCGCGCGCGGCGGATGTGCGACGAGCGTGCGCGGCGGCGAGAGAGCCTTCGCGGCGGCGTCGAGGGCGTCGACCGGAGGCGCGACAAGGCGGCGGGCGCCGATGGAGCAACGACGAACTCAGGACTGCACCGAGACATCACTGTGCGCGCAATATTAAATTAATTAAAGCGCCGCGAGCCGAGCGGCGTCGCAGGACGGGAGGCCTGCCTTCAGGACGCCAGGCGTCGTCACTCTCGGGAGGTAGGGGGTCGTCTCTCCGGGTGCGTCGGCGGTCGTTCGAGGTCGGAGTCGTTCGGGGGAGGTATGGAGTCTCTCCCTCGGGCGTCGCGTTCGGCGGTCGTCCGCGATCGGCGGCGCCGGGCCGGGCCCGGCCCGGGCGGGGCGCCCTTCAGAGCGGGTAGCCCGGGCCGTCGTCGTCGTCGTCGTCGTCGTCGTCGGGCGGCGGCGTGTCGTAGCGCGAGAGTCGCGCGAGGAGCGACTCGTCGCTCCGGCTCCGGAACAGCGGGGCGGCCGCGGCGACGGGCGACCGCGGCAGGTAGAGGGCGCCCCGGGCGAGGTCCTCCCGGGAGCGGCTCCGCCGGTCCGCGGCGAGGCCCGGGACCGCGAGGAGATCGAGCGAGTGGTCGCTCGGCGGGCGCTCGAGGCCCCCGGCGGCGGCCCGCGCGGCGGGGCCGGGCGCGGCCCGCGGGCCCGGGGCCTCGGCGGCGAGCGAGTGGTCCGACAGGGTCCGGTAGAGGTTCGGGTCCGGGCGTTCCCCCGGGCGGTCGACCATGCCCGACAGCGCGATGGCCGCGGCGACGTCGGCGTCCTCGCCGCTCGACCAGGACCGCGCCGGCGAGCCGGCGTCCCCCGCCGGCGAGCCGCCGTCGCCGTCGGCGCGGCCCGCGGGGGGCGGCGGCGCGCGGAGGTCGCCCGAGGGGCGCGTCGGCGAGAGGAGGCGGGCGAAGGCCGCGACGGGCGCGCCGGCGAGGTCGAGCGCGTCGACGGCCCGCCGCGCGGCGCCCCCGGGCGCTCGCCCGCCCCGCGGCGCGGGCCCCGGCGGGAACGCGCCCGCGGCCCGCCGGCGGAGCCAGTCGAGGTGGCCGTCGAGGAGCCTCAGGACGCGGGCGCGGAGTTCCGGCGCGAGGCTCTCGAGGTCCTCGAGGTCCTCGGGCCCCTCGACCTGTGTTGTTTCCAACCGCCGGTTCGGGGGGTCCCCGCCAAACTTTGAAATTCTCGAGCACGGTCGCATCGACGTCGATTCGGCTGATTTTTGGACGAATCGATGGCTCTCGTCGAGTTCTCGAAGCGCGGCAGAAGAGCTCGCGTCGAAACGGTCGCACGCGCGCACATTGAAGTCGGGTTGAAGATGTGGAATCCGCGCGGCCCTCGACGGTCTTGCTCCGCCGAGCGAGGGTCCGCAGGGCGAGGAAGAAGCAATCGGCGTGGTGCCACTTGGGCTTGCCGTGCGCCGAGGGGGGCTCCCCGTCCCCGGCCGCGGCGGCGTCGCTCCCGCGCGGGAGCGCCGGCGCCGCGGACGTCGGCCGCAGGAGAGCGACGCGGACCTCGTCCTCCTCGATGACCTTGCCCGGGCGGCCGCACGGCTTGTAGCGGCACCGAGCCTCCTTGCCGCGCGCCCGCACCTGCGGCGCGCGGTCGCGGGCGCGCGGTCGGCGTCGAGCGGCGCGCACCAGGAAGCGGTTCTGCCCGATCGATCCCTTGATCGAACCGCCCAGCCGCCCATGCATGGCCTGCATGCGTCGGTGGCGGTCCTGCGCTGCTGCCTGCTCCGGCTGCGTGGCGTCGCTCGCGCCTTCGTCGCGAGCGCCGCCGGCCACGGCGGGCTCAGGCTCCATGCCTCGAGCGGCGGCTGCGGTCGCGAGAAGGAGCCTCGAACTGACGAGAGTTATGAAAAACTCGTGTGCCCTCTTTGAGCAGGCCGTTCCGTTATAGTGCAGTCAAACTACTTTTCGCTTGCAGTGCCTTCTAGGGGCTTTTTTATCCCGCGTGTCAGGCCCAGGGGCAGCCCTTGGGATCCGTTCTTCGTGGCCAATGTGCGCCTTCTACGAGTCGCCGGAGATGCTGCAGGTCGTGGCGTCGTGCCTGGACGCGACGAGCATCGCCATGTGCGCGTGTCGCGCGCGCGCGCGTTCCGGAGCCGAGCGCCCTCCTAGGCTGTCGCGCGTGTGCAAGTTCGTGCCGGGCCACCTGAGCAGCCCGGAGGCGCTGCGCTTCGTCGCGTCCCTGCGCGGGGCGCTCCGCCGCGACGTGTCGACGCTCGAGCAGTTCTCGCTCGCCGACTCCATCCTCGAGCTCCGCACGGACATCCGCTTCCGCTTCCGCGAGGCGCGGCCGCGGCGCCTCGCCGCCGCGTGCCGCGGCCCGGCGGCGACGTCGCCGCGCCGCAGGTCGCCCTCGAGGAGAGCTCGCTCGAGCCCCTGGCGCGCTTCGCGGGCCTCCTGCTCCGGCACCCGCGGCCGCCCGGCGCCGCGCGGGGCCGCGCGCGGCCGCGACCGCGCCGCGGCGACCCGCAGGTCCATGACCGTGTCCATCGAGGCGCACTGCGGCCTCGAGGCGCCGCGGGCCATGGGCTACTCCTTCGCGCGCGAGCGCGCGCGGTCCGTCCGCGCGGCCGTCGTCGCGCTGGGCGTGGGCGCGCCGCGGCTCCGCGTGCGGTCGTTCTCGAACGCGCGGCCCCTCGTCTGGGCCTTCGGGGACCCCGCGGGCTCCGCGAACCGGCGCGTCGAGCTCTACGTGTCCTGCGCGGGTCGCGCGCCCGGCGTCCCCGGCCGCGCGCGCGCGCGCGCGCCGGCGGGACGCGCGCCCCCCCCCCGCGCGCGCCAGGCTTCGAGGCGCCCGCGCGGCGCGGGCCCGACGACTACGCGCGGCCGCCGCCGGGCGTCGCGTGGTACGCGGACGACGGCGGCGACCCCGGCCGCGACGACGACAGCGGCGACGACGGCGCGGAGGCGCCGCCGCCGGCAGTGTGGATTCCAACCACTGGTTTGGGGTGTCCCAACCAAACTTCAGAACTCTCTATCTCGGCCAAATCGACGTCGATTCGGCTGATTTTTGGACGGATCGATTGCTCTCGTCGAGTTCTCGAAGCACAGCGAAAGAGTCTGGTCCGAACCGTTCGATTACGCTCACATTGAAGTCGGGTTGAAGATTTGGAATCCACACAGGCCGCCGGACGCGGCGCTCCGCGGCGCCGTGCTCCGCCAGGCCATGCGCGGCGTCCGCGTGCCCCGCCGCGTGCTCGAGACGTTCCTCGACGCCGCCGACGCCGACGACGACCGCCTCGACGACCTCGAGGCGCTCCTCCTCGCCGCGGGCGCGCTCGGCCGCGACGACGGCGACGACAGCGACCCCGACGACCGGTTCCCGCCCGACGACGACAGCGACGACGACGACGACGCGGAGGTCGAGCGCCTCCGCGCGCGGCTCGACATGCTCGCCGAGGACGACGCGCGCGGCGACGGCGCCGCCGCGGCCGACGGCGCGACGGAGTGACGCGCGCGCGCGCCCGACCCTCGCCGCGACCGACGGAAACGCGACGCTCCCGCAGCGCGCCAATCCACGCGCGAGGACTCCGGTCCTGCAGCGCACCAAGGACGCGCGAGGACTCCGGTCCTGCAGCGCACGACACTTGCACCTTATGCATGTATGTAGCTTGAAGGCTTCTTGAAGCCCGACTTCCGGAGACTGAAGGTTGGCTCTCGCGTCATAGTATGCTCTCCGCGCTCCGCCGCGTGGCGCGGCCGGCGGCGGCCCGGTCCTTCGCGGCCTACACGCCCGCCAGGACCTGGCAGGTCTACCTCAGCGGCGAGATCCACAGCGACTGGCGCGAGGTCATCGCCGCCGGCGTCGCGGACCGCGAGCTGCCCGTCGAGCTCGCGGCGCCCATCACGTCCCACGAGGACAGCGACGACTGCGGCGCCGTCATCCTCGGCGACGAGGCCTCGCGGCCCAACTACGACGGCAAGGGCGCGCGGCTCAACCTCATCCGCGCGCGGACGGGGCGGCAAGCGCGCGCGACGTTCCCGACGTCAGAGGCGCCGAGCTCGACCGTCGTCCGCTCGTTTCGGCCGATCCTCGGACGAGCGATCATCTCTCGGAGCGCTCTCGACGCGTGGATGTGTTTCTTGGAACGCGCGCGCGCGGAAAGCTCACGTTGAAGAGACGTTGAATCACCCGGCGCCCGCCAGGCACGCGGACGCTCATCGACGCGGCGGACGTCGTCGTCGTCCGCTTCGGCGACAAGTACCGCCAGTGGAACGCGGCCTTCGACGCGGGCTACGCGACGGCCCGGGGCAAGGCCCTCGTGACGCTCCACCCGCCGGGCGTGAGCCACATGCTCAAGGAGGCCGGCGGCCGTGCGCCGGAAGCGACCGGACCTTCGGACCTCCGGTCGACTCGAGGCCGGTTCGGCTCGTGTTCGAACGAGTCGTGGGCGCTCGCCGAGCGCTCGACGCCGAGCGACGCGCATCGATCCGCGCGCGTCCGCGCGCGTCGAAGTCGGGCCGGAGCGGTCCGCGTCCCCCCTAGGTCAACGCGGGCGCGCTCGCGGTCTGCGAGGACGCGGCGCAGGTCGTCGACGCGAGGCGCCGCGGCGTCCCCCGGTCTCGCGGGTCGCGACCGACGGCGCGCGCCCCTAGGTCCTCGACTACGTCGTCACCGGCGCGCTGCCGGCGCCGCGCGACGGCGACGCGTTCGTGCCCATGATGGAGCGCGCGGGGCCGGGCAACCCGAACCCGTGAGCGGCCGGCGCGGCGGGGACCGTAAGTCGCCGCCGCGGCGCGCGTCGTCGGGCTCGGAGCCCGGGCGAGAGTCGGTCACCTTGCAACGCCTCTTGCAGGACACTCGGGCTCAGCAATTGGCGATTGCCGAGGCCGGGCTATAGACGCTCGTTGCGCGCGCAGCACGACCCCGTCGACGCACCGCAGCCGCGCGCGCGCCGCGCCGCCGCCGGGACCACCATTAAGCGCAAGCTGAGCGGCGCCGGGGCCGCGATGCCCAAGCAGCGCGTGGGCCTGCGCCGCGAGCTCGCGGGCGCGCCGCGGACGCGCGAGGGCTTCTCGCGCACGTTCCTGCTGCGCTTCATCTGCGAGAAGCACACCCTGAGCTTCCGCTACGCCGAGCTCGACGCGCTCCTCGCGGCGCACGGCGTGGACCCGAGAGCGGCCTACGCGGCGCCGGCCGGCGGCGCGGCCGGCGCCGGCGCGGATCCCTACGTCGCCGTCGCGTTCCCGTCCGCGGCCTGCTGCGCGGAGGTCGTGTCCAAGGCGATCCTCGTGCGCGACGCGCTCGAGGTCTGGGGCGAGGGAGACGACCACGCGGCGTGCGCGGCCGCGGTCGCCGCGGCGCCGGCCGAGGGCGCGGCGCCGTTCTTCGCCGCCGACGTGTCGTGGTGCGTCCACGTCGAGGGCTTCGGCTACTCCTTCTCCGGCGCGGAGCAGGAGGCGCGGCGGGGCTTCTACAAGGACGCGCTCCCCTTCCGGGGCCGCGTCCGCCTCAAGGGCGCCGACGAGCAGTTCCGGATCCTCGAGGTCTACGGCGACGTCAACCGCGGCGGGCCCCGGCCGGCGCCGTCGAGGTGCTACTTCGGCCGCGTCGTCGCGTGCTCCGCGGCCCGGGACCTCGTGCACAAGTGCGACCTCAAGCGGCGCATCTACCTCGGCCCGACGGCGCTCGACAACGAGCTCGCGCTCGTCATGGCCAACTGCGCGCGCTGCGACGTCGGGTCGCTCGTGCTGGACCCCTTCGCGGGCACGGGCTCCATCCTGGTCGCCTGCGCGCTCTTCGGCGGGTTCTGCTACGGGTCCGACATCGACTGGAAGGTGCTCCGGGGCAAGGGCGAGCACGAGAACGACGGCGCGACGCGAAGGCGCGGCATGCGGCCGCGCAAGTCCGCGAGCCTGCCCGTGGACGCGCTGCAGCGGGAGGACGGCCACCAGAAGACGCTCTTCTCGAACTTCCGCCAGTACGGCCTCGCGCCGCCGGAGATTTTGCGCCTCGACGCGAGCCGCCTCTTCGACTCCTTCCGGGAACCCGCGCTCGCGGGGACCTTCGACTGCGTCGTCAGCGACCCGCCCTACGGCATCCGCGCGGGCGCGCGCTGCTCCGGCGCGGCCCGCGACGACGTCAAGGCCGTGCCGGACCACCTCCGCGCGGGCCACGTGCCCGCGACGCGGCCCTACCCCGTCGCCGACGTCCTCGCGGACCTCCTCGAGATCGCCGCGCGCTGCCTCAAGGTCGGCGGGCGCCTCGCCTACCTCCTCCCGGCGACGGCGGACTTCGACGCCGCGAACGACTGCCCCGCGCACCCGGCGCTGGCCTTCGTCGCCGCGTGCGCGCAGCCCGTCTCGGCCAAGTACGCGCGCCACCTCGTCGTCATGGCCAAGGCGCGGCCCTGGGGCGCGGCCGACTGGACGCCCGCGGCGCGCGCGCTCGTGAAGCAGTCCGTCGACGCGCCCTACGAGAACCTCCGCGCGAAACTCGCGGAGCCCGCGAAGCTCGCGGAGCCCGCGGCGCCGCCGCCGGCGCCCGCGCCGGCGCCGGGCCGCTGCGGCGTCATGTAACTGGCGGGCAACACGAGAGGGCCGTTATGACATCCTAGCTAGGGGGGAATTGCTCCGGCGCGGGGCCGTTGGCCGGGCGCCGGGCCGCGCGCGAGATCGCGCGCGCTTGGGGGGAGGTGTCGGGCTCGCCGGAGCGCGTCATGACGGCGCGGTTGCTGAGCTCGTCGCCCGCGCGCGCCGTCTAGGCGCGGGCCGCGACGTACTTGAGGCCGAGCGCGGTGCCGAGCGTCCAGGCGAGCGCCTCGGCGCTGCCCTTGTTGGCGCCGCCGCGCGCGAGGTCGAGGACGGCCGGGGCCGCGGAGAGGAGGAGGCAGGCCGCCGTCGCGGACGTGACCGTCGCGATGGTGCCGCCGAGCGAGGAGCCGTCGCCGCCCTCGAGGGGCACGATCGTCTTGTGCTTCCACTTCTTCACGGGGTCGAGGAGCATGCTCTGGACGGGGCCGCGGACCGCGTTGAGCATGTCGGCGATCTCCTTGGGGATCTTGACGCCGAGGACGGAGTCGGCCTTCGGGAGCGTGAGGAAGCCCTTGTGGTAGTCGCGGATGCTCTCGGCGGTCGAGAGGAAGAGGTTGATCGCGCAGAGCGCGACGTAGACGACGAAGACGATGCCGCTGATGTTGACGCTGAGGTCGACGAGCTTGTCGAGGGTCGCCTACGAGGGGCCGCGAAGGTGAGGGGTGCGAACACGAGTCGCGCGCGTTCGAGGACCGCGCCCCGAGTTGAAGAACAGAACACGCCGCTCTCGAATCTCGCGGCGCGCGAGGGGGAGAGGCGTTCGAGGCCGACGTCCCGGGGAGGCGGGGTTCGGAGGGTCGAGAAGGGCGTGGGACGCGGGCGCGTACGGAGTCGCCGGTGAGCACGTCGCGGATGAGCGCGGGCATGCCGAGGTTCAGGTCGATCCACCAGACCGCGGCGTCCGCGAGGCTCTGGGGCACGGCGAGCACCCACCCGGAGACCTCGGTGAGGGCGTCGACGCCCTTGGCGAAGACCTCCATGGCGGGGTCGATCACGATGGCGAGCGGCGAGGGAGCCGGGGCGGCGGCGGCGGCGGCCGAGGCGGTACCGAAGAGGGCGAGAAGCTTGTACATGATTTTATACCTGTGCGTGCGTGGTGTGAGTGCGTAGGCGCGCGTGGGCGGCGTGTGAAGGGGAGAGGATTGGGGTGGGAGGGCCGCGGCGAGTCGTGGGCGCGCATCTCACGAGTCGGGCTCCGAGTGTGCAGGATCACGGAACTGTATCGGCTTCGGCCGTGGGGGCCGAAGCGTACGCCGAAGTCTTCGCACCGCCGAACTAGACGTCCGGCGCGCGTGCCGGGTGGACATCAGTGGCCGCTATCTGCGCCGCTCGAGTTCTCGGCACTCACCTCCGTTACCGTGACGGCGCTCCGGACGTCC